GAAAGAGCTCAGCTGTCCTATGGCACCTTAAACTTCATCTGAAGGGATTTCTGAAACAACACTTTATGATTGTTTTTTGTAAAGAGGTGATTCGTTTAGCTGAAGCTGAATGTGGTGTTTGAGGAAAGGCCACACGAGCGGTCAGTCTGATAAGCAAACGCTTGTGCAACAGCACATCTGTCACCATGGAAACCACACAACACCAGCACAACAACACACGTCCGTCTCCCGTAAACGTCCTCTGCATTTCACGCGTGTTCATTCCTGCGGTCAGTGACGGCAGCTCAGCGAGCGGAAACACAAAGCGCTGAGGAATCCCATCTTTGGGCCTTTGCAGTGGTTTCTGGCTCCTGCTGTTTGACTCACAAGCTGCTGTTTTCAAGTTCATGCACTAATAAATCAGCACAGACATCTGAATGAAGACAGCGTGAACTCATTCAGCTGCTCGACGTACGGGTAATGTCTGGCTATTTATGATTTTATACACTTCATACGTTCAGTTAACCAACTCTACTAATAATAACAAACCCATCCAATCACTATCGGTCCAAAAGAAAATAGAGGACAGAATTGACTTTCTCTTTAGTGCAATAAAATAAAATAAAATAAAAAATTGCAATAAAGGACAGAAAATACTGAAATATAATCAAATATAAAATATAAGTGAAATATAAAACTATAAGTGAAAAAATGGGGAAATATTGAAGTATAATCAAATATTTAAAAATATAAGTGAAATATATAATTAAATATAAAACTATAAGTCAAAAATCAAGTATAATTGATATAAGTGAAATTTAATCGAATATAAAAAAAGATGTAAGGGACAAAAGAGGGGAAATATTGAAATATAATCAAATATAACAAAAATGGGGGGGGGGGGGGGGTGCGATGAATCCTTCACATTAGCAGTAAATAAAAAGCCAATTTTAAAAGGAATAGCCCTGGTAACAGATTTAGGTTAGGCTATAAAAACGTTATGGGAATCTTTCTGTAATGTTGAAATGCCCAGTTATCTCGTCAGGATTATAACGTTATGTAAAGGTTACAAAAACGTTTCTTAGAAAGCTCATCAAGTACAAATAATCAAACAATGTTCTGCAAACGCTTTCTCAACGTTATGAGAATGTTTATCAAATATTAATACAGTTCCATAAACATTACACTAAGAATGTTTTGTCCTAACAGTTATAAGTTGTGGACATAAGACCGACTCTGATGGAGCAAACACGTGTGGACATTTCTCTCATAGTTCTTCTGTTGGCATCACGGGACGCCGCTCTCATTCCTGGAGAGATTCAGACCCGCGTCATGAAGAGATGCTTTGTGCCGTGAATGCTGGGAAGAGACCGGGAACTACATTCACTACATTCCTCTGCTGTTTACTAGGGTAAGAATAACTAGAACCTTCTGTGAGTATTAAAGATGATGGATTGATTCCTCAGATCATGAGGTGATCAGCTGCACCACTTTCACCTGCTGGACCAGAAAACAGCCGAATAAACCTCACAGACGCACACTGAAGGGCCCGAATCACATCCACCGTCCACAAGATCTCACCTAGCAACCACACAGAACACCATAGCAACCGCACAGCAACTTTTAAGATGAAACAAAGTCTCAGCTAAGGGTAAATTGTAAATGCAACTTTATATCTCACAGTTCTGAGAGAAAAAAAGTCAGAAATGTAAGAAAAAAGCAATAGTAAGAGAAAAATGTCAGAATTGCGAGTTATAAACTCAGAATTGCAAGCTAACAAGTCAAAATTGTGAGAAAAAAATCCAAATTGCGATAAAAAAGTCAGAATTGTGCGAAAATAGTCAGAATTGCGAGAACAAAGTCTGAATTGCAAGAAAAAAGACAGAATTGTGAGAAAAAAGTCAGAATTGCGAGAAAAAGTCAAAATTGAGTAAAAAGTCAAAATTGTGAGAAAAAAAGTCAAAATTGAGTAAAAAGTCAAAATTGTGAGAAAAAAAGTCAAAATTGTGAGAAAAAAAGTCAAAATTGAGTTAAAAGACAGAATTGTGAGAAAAAAGACAGAATTGAGTAAAAAGTCAAAATTGCGAGAAAAAAAGTCAAAATTGAGTAAAAAGTCAGAATTGCGAGAAAAAGTCAGAATTGTGAGAAAAAAAACCTCAGAATTGCGAAAAAAAGACAGTATTGCGAGAAAAAAAGTCAAATTGAGTAAAAAGTCAGAATTGAGAGAAAAAAGTCAGTCCGAACTGTGAGAAAAAGACAGAATTGTGAGAAAGTCAGAATTTAGAGTAAAAAGTCAAAATTGTGAGAAAAAAAACCTCAGAATTGCGAAAAAAAGACAGTATTGCGAGAAAAAAAGTCAAATTGAGTAAAAAGTCAGAATTGAGAGAAAAAAGTCAGAATTGCGAGATAAAAAGCAATTACCCTTTTAGTTTTTTATTTCATGGCGGAAACAGGCTTCCATAGCTTTCTGTCAATTTTATAACTGAATTCAAACAGTTATAATAGTGTCTCAATCCTAAAATAAGACTGAAGCAGAAGTGAAGCTGATGAGACAGAAGATGAAGATCTTGAAGCAGCTCGGAGAGCTTGTTCAGATGGCTGTTTGTCCTCAGTCAGCATCTGTAAATCACGTTGTGTAGCTTCTGGCTGGTGAACATCCATCTTCAGCTTGATCCAAAGCCTGGAGTGAATCCTGCGTGACTCACAGGAAACCAGAGCAGATCTCCACGTCCTGTGACGGAGAGAGCCTCTGCAGATACGCCAGACAGGGCTATTAGCGTTTACATACAATTACAACGCTTACAAATATGTACTTACATTAACTGAAATGAAATATTAAAAACCAAGTCAACAGTTCTCATTTTAATTTAGTTTAACTTGATGTACTAAAATAACTAAAACATTGAAAAAAAACTATATTTAACTCAAATTAAAATCATAAAATAAAATAAAATAATAAATAAATAAATACACATGAACGGAAATAAACTTGATGTACTAAAATAACTGAAACTGAAATAAAATTAATAAAAGCTATAGACATATTTAGAGAGAAAAGTCATAAAAACACAACAAATATACTAAAACGTTAACTAAAATTAAAATGAAAACGGAAGATACAAAAATAATCTACAATAGTATATTGAATGATCCTAAAAGAACATCTGCAGCCATCAGATTCACAACATGACTGTAAACAGCTGATCAATCAATCAATCAATCAATCAATCAGGTGATGCGCTCTGCTCTCATACTGTTGCATTGAGCTCTTCCTTGTTAAACGTTATTTTTGTTCTTGTGTTGATCTCTAGTTCCACTGATATGCCACAGAAATTATGTTTTTTCCAGGCAGTGCAGATGTAAACACATGACAGCAGCACATGCTGCGGTTTGATTCACGTTTACTGCACGAGTTTATCTTTCCCAGCGTGTGTGTGTGTGTGTGTGTGTGTGTGTGCAGCAGGACACAGAAGAACCTTCGACACAGAATCTAGAGAAGAGGAACGCATGATGGAGAATAACAAACCCGCACCAGAGCGTCCGTCACACGGTCAAACACGCAAAAACAGCCGCAGGATTCCAGATGTTTGGTTTACTGAGAACACACACATTATCTAACGGAGCCGCTGCTGCTCCTCTTCAACAAAGAGATCAACAACAGTCAACATTTGCTCATTAGTGACTCTCTCATTCCAGACCACTTCTGTCCTGCTCCAAAACATCTAAAAGTGCATTGTTTGTAAATCATTTTGTCAGTTCACTCAAAACCTGATCAGCTCCAGAGAGAAACACACAACCTGTGCTAACAAAGAAAACAGCTCCAGTCCAATGCCATAACATTAACTAGCATTTCCAGGACAAAGTAAACCCGGGTTCAAAATGACCCGAACACAACATGAACTTAGAATTCTCTATATGGCATTTCTCATCAAAATATCAAAATTCCAGTGGAATGACAGAGTTCTCCAATCACTGAGTGAGTTTAAACTCCGCCCCTTTCTTACAATCCACCACAGATCCCCCTCCACGACTGAGAGCCACGCCCACATCTCAACATCCAATCAGCAGCCGATGGACAGAACTAAGCCCCGCCTTTTTTTGGAAAATCCGTTTCACTCTGAGTTGTTTTCTGAGAAACTCACCGAAATGAGTTTATAATTAAAACAAGAACAAGCATTCGTCAATGAGCTCGTCATCTTGAAGTTTCGTTTTTGTTCAATTTCGTAGAAAACAAGACTTAATATTTTTATTTTGCATCTCAAGTATCTTGATTTAACGATGTTTAGATATTTGTACAGGGAAAAAAGTTTAAGACCTGCTGCTCTGATTTAAGAGCTTTTAAGGCCCACAGAAACCATTAAAAGCCCAGCGCAGTGTCAAAACCAAAGGAAAGGAGACATGAATGCTCAAATAAGCCCTTAAAGAATGAGAGTTAATTACTGTCACCAGATGAATTTATTAAAGCTCATTGTGAAGATCGACGCAGCAGCATGTGTTCATATTCGCTCTGTTCCAAACGCTAGTGCTCTACATAGACAGCACACTTCCAAGACAACTCAAATCAGTAGTGTTTTGCTAAGATAACAACAGAAATAATAGCAGCTATATATTAGGACAAACAGCTCATTTAAAATCAGATGGGACTCCTTTTGTCTATATTTTTACTTAACGAATGAATTCTAAAAAATATGGTTCTCTTGCTTGATTGATGGATGATTTCTGCTGCAATGCATTCTGGTATAATGAAGGTTATTTAGGGGCTGTTCACACAGAACACATTTTTTGCATTATTTTTAGTAAACGCACGCTAGACAGTGTTGTTTTAATCACTGAGAATTGTTTAGTTCTTTTATTTATGGGTTTTTAATGTAATATTTTGTTTTAATTTTCATTTTAGCTAAAGTTTTAGTAATTCTTTGTGTGCTTTTGTTATTTTTTTACAATATGGATATTTAAAAAAATGTTTTTATCAACTTATTTTAGTTTTAGTTCTTTTATCTATTTACACTAAATAAAAATCGTCATGTCTTTTTTGCAACACAGTTTTATAAAAT